TCCCCCCCACGTCCCCCCACGTCCCTCCCCTCCCCTCCCCTCCCTCCCCTCCCCTCCCCTCCCCTCCCCTCCCCTCCCCTCCCCTCCCCTCCCCTCCCCTCCCCTCCCCTCCCCTTTCGTCTCACCTGGTCATGCAGGAAGGTCTCACAAGGCGCGAGCGGTCTGCTGCCCTCGTGAGCATTTAGGACGCGCTGTGGATAGCGCAGGGTGAAGCCCTCGAGGTGCGGGAAGGAGACGTCGCCGACGATGCTCTGATAGTCTCCGTTCCTCTGCGTCACGTTCTTCATGTGAGCCGCCATGTGCGCGCACATGATGCAGCAGGATGTATAGCCCAGGCAGAGCCGGACGGCAACCCCACCCTTGTTGCCAGCCATGCCGCGAAGACCGGTCCTGCATGCTTCCACGCTGACGTTGGAAATGAGGGACTTGATGCTCGGGGAAGCGAAGACGAGGAGGACGACGCCGACGAGCTGCCGGGAGGCAATGAGAGAGAGCTCCTTCTTGGAGCCGAAAATTTCTAAAAAATGTTCAGTAAGGAAGGAAGAGGAGGAGGAGGATCAGAGGAGGACGGGGATCAGAGGAGGAGAGGGAGGAGGAGGAGGATAAAAACGGAACAAAGACAATACAAGGAGTGAGAGAGAAAGGAAGGAGGAAGGAAGAGATCAGAAACACAGAGGAACAAGAGAAGAGCAAGGGAGAAGCTCGCGGAGGAGGGAGGGGGGCTGCACGCACCAGCGATCGCAGCTTCAACCTCCTGCGTCCATCTGCTCATCACGGAGCTCTTGCCCGCATCCTCGTCCGAAAGGTCAGCAAGGATCCCTTGTCCTGTGTCCTTGAGAACTGACATGGCGCCCAACTCCACCGCCTCCTGCAGCCCCAGCACGTAGAGGTCCGGGCCCTCCGTCCCCCACTCCTTCACAGCTGGGAGCAGCCAGCCCATGATCTCGTCCTTGCTCATAACCTTTCCGTTGACGTTCCACGAGCCGACGAACACACTCACCCTCCTGCCCTCCCACAGATCCTCCTCGCTTCCTGCCAGCAGCCCGTGCCTCCTCCAAGCCAGCTGCGCCTCCTCCCCCGTCACGCGCAGGGAGGAGAGCAGCTGCAGCGCGACGTCTGCTCCTCCGCTCGAGGAGGAAGCAAAACCGCCGATGGCGCTCGCAGTGTTGACGAACTTGGAGTAGAAGGAGGAGGCGACGCCTCCGGTGATGCCGGAGAACCGGGAGGAGATTCCAGAGTTAGAGCTCGGGGGGTCGCTGCCCGTCGACTGCCGGAACAGGCTGATGCCGTTGGCCGCCCACTGGGTGAGGAGGAGAGAGAGGAGGGGCTGGGGCACTGAGCTCGAGCCAAGGGAAGAAAGGAAAGATTCCATGGCGCGGAGAGCGAGCAGCGTCTGGAAGTTGTTGACTTCGAGGAGGTCGAAGCCATGCACGCGATGGAAGCTCGTCTGCCTCCTCTCCTCCCCTTGCCGCTCCCTCTCCATCCCCCGCATGCTGAAGTCATGCGTGAACTTGGAGCCGGTTGCCTTGTCGAGGGGGTCGACCGGCATCGACATGCTCGTGCACTGCACGTGATCCATGCTGCTGCTCTCCTTCCCGGCGATCTTCACCGCAGCCTCCAGCGACCTCGCCAGCATCGTCTCGTCTGAGGACTTGGACACGGTGGAGGAGCTGATACCCACCAGCACTAGCTGGTCCGAGTAGATGCTGGCGAGCTTAGCGATGTGGCTGCGGAGGGAGGCGGCGGACTCGTTCTCCGGGGCGGCGGAGATGGAGGAGCTAGAGCTCTTGCCCCACACCAGAGGACAAGACCCTCTCATGCTCGCATGCCTGAACTCCGTCCTCCTCCCCGCACTGTTGCTCGCCCACAGAATCATCTGCGTCTCCACAAAGTCCGCCGAGTTCCCTTCCTCGTCGAGCCCCGAGGACGATCGCGGCCAGGACCGTACCCTGCTCCTCCTGGAGATCACAGCAAGAGACAGCTTGCTGGATCGGAGCTGAGGAGCGAAGTTGTCGTCGTCGGAGGAGACCAGGAGCTCTCCTCCCTGCACGCTGCCGCACATGACCGGAACCATCCACTCCAAGGAGAGGTCGACGGTAGGAGCTTGTTGCAGGGTGAACATCTCAGCAGGAATGAGCATCTCCTTGTTCCATTCGAACTGCTCCTGCGCGTCCTGACTGGCGGCGAGAGGAGACGGAGCGAAGACGTCAATGACGCCGGAGCGCGTCAGGTCGATGTCGAAGGAGAAGAAGAACCCTTGCGAGGAGAGGGCCGTTTCCAGCGCCTTCACTTCCTTGAGGACGTTCTCCGACCTGGCCTTCCTCTCAGGCGCGAAGTTGAAGCTGAACGGCAGGAACTCGACGCGGGTGATCTCACAGATCGTCTTGTCGTCGAACTTGGCGACCACAGCAGCGTCGGTCACTACCACCAGGAAGCTCTGTGTCTGACGGTGAAAGACCCCCAGAACAGCCATGACGAGCTTCTCGCAACACCCGGGGGGATCAGCAGGCATGGGCTCGTAGAAGAAGGAGGAGGTCTCTTTCTGTATCCTCAGAATTCCCTTGTGGCCTCCAGATCGCGGGAAGCAGTAGAAGTTGTCCGCGTCGAAGCGAACTGTGAAAGCCATAGGCTTCTCCCGGCTGACCACGTTTTCTGATGGTTGTGGCAGATCCTTTGAGCTCATAGTTGAAGTGTGTGAGAGGAGGAGAAAGAAGTTGATGGACTACCTCCTACCTCGTCTGATCTCTGCCTCCCTTCCTGTCACTCACACAGACAGTCCAGTGACTCGCTGCCTAGTCAATGTTCCACGTGCTTGGCTCTGCGATATCACCCTCTATCCTCTTCTATCTCTCTCTGTGCTCACTCTGCTCTCTTCGTCCTTCTCTTTGTCTTCACTCTCTTCCTCCCTTCCTCCTCCTCCTCCTCGTCTCTGCCTCCTCTCCTCCTCTCACTGCGTCATCGCTGGCTCACCAGCGACGCCATTCCCCCAAACTGTGTTGTAACGGTCAAAGTAACCGTCATCATTCTGTTTGAAACTGTCAGCCTTCAGCTGGCCCCACCGGGCCGGGGGGGCCGGCCGCCCGGCCGGACACTGTGACTCAGTGCTCGGATCGGAGTTGGACAGTCAGCTAGCCGCCGGACAACCGGGCCGGAGATGCCGTTGCCCGGGCCCGAAGTTGCCGGACACTATATAGTGAGACAAACTGATTTCTTACAATAACTGTGCTAGATTGAGACCGCCCCTCCGGTCAACCCCAGCTCTGGTCCAGCACCATCCTTTGCGTCGCCACCCGTGGGCGTGACAGGCTCGGAGTCAGGAGAAGAGAGGATGCCGTGAAAGCCTTCGATGACCTGAAGCTCAAGTCACTGACCTCCTGGAAGGAAGGCCCGGAGGGAGGGAAGGAGAGGGAGGGAGGGGAGGGGCAGGCGGGGCAGGAAAGGGCCGCCGAGGGTGTTTGACACCTGTTGGCGGTGGAAGTCAGCAAAATTGTTCTGGACGCAGCGCTTGATCGACAGCACTCCATCCTGTCAGCAAGTAAGAGGGAGCCGGAGAGCAGCCGGAGTAGGATGTCATGCCTGGAAGAGTCCCCCCACTGTTCTCTTGCCCGTCCTGGTGAGATCGCCTTTGAGGGCTGGGGAGATGGTGAGCAGAAACAAGATGCCGTAAGAGCGACGGGGAGAAGCGATGGGGAGGAGAGGAGGAGGAAAGGAAAGAGGGGAATCTCAGGGAGGACCAGCAGAAGGGGGGGAAGGGGGGGGAGCTACTGAGAACGAAAGAGGAGAAGCAGAGGAGGGAGAGGAGAAAGAGAGGAGAGTAGAGTGGGAGGGCACTCTAGGAAGCTGCAAGAGAAGGGAGCTGTACCTGCTGTGCCGGAGTACTGCACTGAGATGAAGTCGCCATGGTCGGCCCACAGCGCCTTGAACTGCTGTAATATCAGCCTCCTCCTCCTCCTGCCTCTTCATCCTGCCTGTTTACTCATCTGCTCCGCCCAGGGGAAGGGAAGTTTCGTCTCTGTCGCCACGGCTGCCAGGCACGCGTCGCTGTCCTGGAGAGCCGTCATGACCAGCCCTATGTCTGCTCTCTCCCTCAACCTCCATGCTGATCGCCCCGATCGCTGCCAGCTGCTTCATGGCGATGTGGAAGGACAAGACGCTCTGCGAGCTTGTGTGAAGATGCTCCCCCTCTCCTCCTCCTCCTCCTCGTCCGCCTCTCTCTCATCTTTGTGCCCCTGCCCCTGCCCTTGCCCCTGCCCCTCCTCCTCCTGCCCCCCGCGCTCCCCTCCTGCCCCCTCTCCCACCCTTCCATTACCCCCTCTTTTCGCTGCTTACCTGCGCGACATTCGTTCGGTCCAGACAGTCCACACAGTTGACTCGCATGACTCCACCTTGCTGCCTGTCCTCCCGCAAACCTCCATCCCTAACCTTGAGCAAGCAAAACCCGTGGGACTCAAGTTGCGATGAGCATTCGTTGACAAGCAGCGGCAGATTCCTACAGGAAAAGGAGGAGGAGAAGGAGATAGGAGGAGGAGGTAGGAGGTAGGAGGAGGTAGGAGGAAGGAATACATCAACAACACATTGGCTTGCAACGGGTTCTCAAACACCTGAAAGCTAATTTCCCGCAGATGTTATGGAAGTCGAAGGGAATGAAGACTATGTCTCCCTCCAGCTCCTTCTTCGCCTGCCCGACAAGGATCAACAGGCTCTAGAAGGAGGTTGGGGGGCGGGGGGGAGCACAGAAGGAAGGCGAAGGAGGACAGTGAGAGTCTCAGTCAAGATTCTCAGCACCTCCTGCACCATCCTCTCGTACGCCAACCCCAACGGCCGCTCGTGAGACGAGTCCTTCTGCTCCACCAGCGAGAGGATCGCGAGCTTGCCGTACTGCCCACTCAGCTCCTGCACGAAGTGAGGAGGAACAATCTTCCACCCTGCATGCTCAACCATCAGGTGCTTGGACAGAGGGTTCCCATGCTCGCTGTCGTTCCCTAGCTCGGGCTGGAGGGCAGCAGGGACTCAGTTGGAGGCTAGCTGGGGTCTGATAGACCTTAGGCTTGTGCTTGAGGTTCAGGAAGGCGTCTGCTTCCGTCCAGATGAGGGGGATTGAGCCTCGGACCTGACGAAAAGACGATGAGAGGAGCAGAAAGGAGATCCCCTCCCTTCCTTCCTCCCCTCCCTCCCTCCCTCCTTTCTCCGTTCCTCCCTCTCTCCCCTCCCCTCTTTCCCTCTCCCTCACAATCACAAACGAAGAGACGGAAGTCTCCCGGTCGCTCGGCCCTGCCGCGTCCTGTGCGGAATCTGCATGAAGCAGCTCAACCTCAGCTGGCAGCCAGCTGCTGCACATCTACCCATGGTCGCGCTCGTCCAAGGAGAGATGATCTGTTCGGTCTCGACGCTGTTGGAAACGTGCCCGTCTGCGTCTACCCCCCTTGACAAGTACCTGACAACCCCTTCAGCTAACCCCCCACTTCTCCTTCATCCCTGCTCCCCTGCTCCTGCTCACCTGTAGCCCGATCGCCTCCAGTCTCGTCTACCGATGACGAGAAGACTCGCAGTCTCGTCGCTCGACAGGGGGATGCTGCGGAAGCCGACGAAGCCACTGACAACAGGCAGGAGGCAGTCAGTGTGGTGGAGGGCGCTGAATGGCTTGAGGATGTTGTGATTCCAGATGAAGCGATTCTCTCGCTCCTCGTAAGTCCCGTTGTACGACTGGTGGAAGTTTGATCTGAACTTCTCTGCCAGCCTTTGCTGGGTTTGCGTCACATCCCAATCATAACTGAAAAACATGTTGAACGTGTCCAGCAGCTCTTCCAGCTGGAAAATGTCCACGTCATCACACACGCAGGGCTGTGGGGCTCTCAGGAACGACTCACCAGCTTGTACTCGATGGCTCGATTCGAGAGCTCCAGAGGGTTCGGGTCGGATTTCTTGGCAAGTACTCGTACGCTGCTCGAGCTGACCTTGTAGATCACTCCACAGTGCATGCTCGCCACCATCTGCCTCCCCGTACACAGGATGAGGTAGCTCGCATGCATCAGGTTTGCGATCCCCAGGATCCCCATGATCTCTGCCTTGGCCTTTCCGCGCACCATGCTCTCCGCCTCCTCCACCGCAAGGGACGAGATCTCGATAGAGGAGCGGTCTATCAGCACAGCCTCCCGCTTCGCCGCGCCGCTGCTCGGGGTCGGAAGCACGGGAGGCATGATGACGAATTTGTCGGGGAACGTGTAGAGGTACATACAGTAGTCCTTGGGCTTCGGGTCTACCTGCGGGGCCAACTCCTTCTGGATGTTCTTGAGGACGGGCAGGGCTGCGGACGTGGCCACTTGCTTGACCATGATAGCCCTGTTGGAGATGTTCTCGAAAATGGCGTTGTTCTGCACTGAAGTCTGCAGGTTCTTCATCTGCTTCATCAACGATCCTTGCAGGGGAGCAACTCCTGCCCATAGCCGGTCTGCCCCCTTTCTGATCCCCTCGCTGAAGCGAGAGCGGCTCCCCTCGGAGTCTGACGGCTGGAAGTTGATCCATGGAACGAACTGTGCGTCATTGATAGAGAACTCAATTCGAGGGACTTCCACGACCACGACTTCGTCCTCCAAGTTCGCATCTTTCTCCTCGTCCTCAGACTCCTTCCTCCTTAAAGTCAGGATCACGGTGCTTCCTGCAGGCCCTTGAAAGTACTTGGCGAGATCGGCTGCCGACTTCCCTTCCACCTCGATGCCATCGATCGTCAAGAGCTCATCCCCTTGTTTGAGTTCGCCACAGGCATCGGCGCCTGATCCCGGCACGAGGCTTTCGATCCGAAGAGGCGTCCCACCCTCCTTCTCGTCGAAAACGATCCCCACGCCGACAATCTTCTCTTCAGACATGGAAGATCATGCGGGTGTGATATGAAGGTTCTCAACGACCAGGCTTGGCAATCATGGAAGTTAGCAGATGCCCTGCATTAATCCGAATAAAAGCAATTAGTTGTCGTGTCGCCAAAGCTTCACCTAGTCAAAGATGTCCAAAATGCTGCATTCAATCTTTCAGGATCTCTTGTTCTGCTTCGTCTCTCCCTACGTTTTTGTGGAGCGCTACACCGATTATGATCTTGATATTTTCCTGCTTCTCTCCATTTCTTGTTTCTTGCTCTACTTCGCCAGGGTATGTATTTGACCACCTCCAGATCTCATTTCTGCGTATCATGCTCAAACTCCATACCTCACTCTCGCTCTTACATCCTCTCATGCTCTTAGTCTCTGTATGTCTTTCTCTCTCTCAATCATAATCATTGCTTCATTCCTCCTCCTCCTTCTCCTCCTGCACTAACCTACGGTGCTCGCTTTTCCCCAACATATTTCATCGGTGACCAATCCCCCAACACACCCACCCTACCCTACCGGACACCATATGGACCCTGACTCATTACCCCTACTCTTTAGCTAATTTTGTGGGGTTATGACACCCACCCCACTTTCTATAGCTTGATATCTGAGGGGGACTTGCTCGACCTGGTGAAGGTCATGAAAGGGGTACCCCCACCAACCTTGTCCCTCCAAAAACTGGAGAAATTTAGGGGTACTCAGGGTACTGTGAACCGACCACCATTCACCATGTAGTACCCCCTGTACTGTACTAGGGTGTTCATGGGAAAAATAGGGGGTATACTGACCCTACCCCCTGACTAGAATTTATCCTAGTGGAATGAACCCCTCCTTTCCTCCTCATTCCCGTCCTCCCCTCCCCCGACCCCCTTCCCTGCCGCTCCTCCTGCCAGCAGTTGGCTTACTTCACCCCTGCTGCCCTGCTGTTTGACCTCTTACTTTTCTGTGATCTGGATCCTCCCGATCCGAGGCACCGAGGGCTTGGCCCCCATCTTTTCCAGTTTGCAACAGCCTTGATTGAGTCGACAGGAGTAAGCACAAGATGGCTCGTATTCAACATGTTTACACTCAATTCTGTACAATCATATCGCTCATTTTCCATGTCTCTGGTCTCTCGCTCAGTACTGGCCCTGTACATGGCTCCTTGATTAGGAAAATCAATGATGCAAAGCTCGCATTGCGCCCAAGCAGCATCCCCTTATCTTCCAGCCTTGCTCTGCTCATGAAATTGCGTGGTGGTGCCAAGTCTAAGAACCATACAAATCATAACCAGAACCGTAAGGCTCATCGCAACGGAATCAAACGCGTGAAGACGTGAGGGCCTTTCCTGTTTCTTGTTGTGATCTGGTCCACAACGGTGTCAACTTTCTTCTGATTTGTTATGCAGGCATAGATTCGAATCGACAAAAGGCCGCAGTCTGAAGCTGTGGAGAAATGACAAGTACTCACGCAGAGGGTCTATGCGTGTGCATCGCAAGAATATCTTGCCAAAGAAGATAGCAATCAGGGAGGCAAGGCTGGAACAAATCGCTTCCACCGTCCTGTCACCAGTGAAGAAGATGGGCTCGGAGACGGAGTCCGGGAACTCCAACAAAGACGAAATGGAGACTGAAGCCCAAAACACAGATGAGGCTGTTGGAGACGATGGAATGCATGACGGAACGGCTGAAGCGTAAGATGAAATAATGGACTAACAATCTCGTGACATCAGGTAAGTTTATTTTGATGGCAGCATCTATGTTGTTGGTCAAGCTGAGCTGCAGTGTCGCATACACAAAGTATAGTTCTGTTATTTCACTCTTTGAGCCAAAAAAAATGCAACAAAACATCACGATCCATAATTCCTTCATCCGACTTCTATTCATCCCCAGATCACCACCTTCTTTCGTTTCAATCAAGATTAATGTATTTAGGAGCTTTCGATCAATCTGTCGATTTCGTGCACTCGATTGAGAATCTAAGGAAGGAGTTGTCAGACGCCGGAGATAGACTAATCACAAATCATTATGAATACCTGCACTTTGCTAGTCTCCATAACTTCGCCGGCAAGAAAATATTCGTCAAGAATCACGAAGACCTGTCATGAATGTTCGCGAAATTCAAATTACACACAAAGTGAAACCTTGTGAAAGTTGAACACAAGGTCAAGCTCACACACGTTTCCGAAGTATTGATCCAGAATCTATAATCTAGGTCAGAAATCCCCAGCACTGAATGCTTCCAACAATATCATATTACTTCAACAAACAAGTGGATTGCCTCCAAGCAAGCAAGTTCATTGTCATTTACATCCACACAGAGCGTGAAAAATAGTCCCGCATATCTCCTGTAAACTGCGTCAAAGAAAACCTTATACAAACTCAGAGGATAGCAGGAAAGCATTTCTAAATGAGGGATTTGACTTAACCTGTAAACTAACTTGTGAGTTCTCCATTCTACAAAGTTTGTGAACTTTGATTCACGTTGGGTAACGACTTTATGGCACTCCAGCTGAGTAAGAGAACACATTCAAATCAGCGTCGCTGGCCATGCTCAAAGGGTCTCCCTTCACCTGGATCGACTGCTTCTCGGTATCGTCGTAGGGAACGTACCACTTGGAGAGACGAGTCTTCCCCTGTCTGTTCTGTAGGAGGAGGAAGCGGATCTACAGCCATGGTCTCAGCTGCTCTGCTGCCGTTCGCTCTCGCCTCCAACTCACCATTGGGCGCCTTCCTTGAGGAATATTGCGTGGTGGGAGGGGTTGGGGTGAATGGTTCAAAAGTACCGGTGGGTAGGTCTGTGGGAAATTTATCCATGGTGGGTACAGAAACATTGAAGTCTGCTGATGGTGGGGTTATATAAATTGACCGGCAAGGACTAGGAAAATGGAAGGTAAAAAGTAGGGTACTAAAACCACAGGGGGTGAAGTTGTTGGGTACTACCTGTCTAAGACTACCGGTAAAAGAAATGAAGTCTAAAGAATCAGTGGGGTGGGTAGTGGCAGGTGGGTGGGGGTTATTGGAGGAGATATAGGGGCTCATAACCTGATGAAACGGCATTTCCCGGGCCGACCGGTGCCGGGCCATGGGCAGGACTGAGAATGTGGTAGAGTTGTGTCCCTTGTACTCGTAGGGGAATCGATGGGGTACATGAACGGTAAAAACAGGGGGTGGTTGTTCTCGAGAGCGCACCAGGGGTGCTGGAGATAGGAAAATACACGGTGGTAAAAGGGAGGGTGGTACCCCTGGTGTGGTGGCATGCAAGGGGAAGGATGGGGTAGGGGGTACGTCCTATTTAGTTCTAAGGCGGCCATGGCGCTTTTAAGGGAGGAGGAGGAGGGGGAAGGAGGCAGAGAGCGAAGACGCGTGGGGGAGGAGAGACAGGAAAGAGGCAGGAAAAGATGATAGATATGAGGCAGAGGACGATGGGGGGAGACTGAGGGGGATAGAGGAGGGAGGAGGAGCAAGGTACAACAGGATGAAACTTGGATGGCAGATTGGGGTGTTTCGTGATAGGCGCAAGACACGTATCAACCTTAAGAACACATGAAGCAGCTCCGATAATCTGGCAGAGTGAGGCAGAGTGGGAGAAGCAGCGAAGGAGAGAGGAAGAGGAAACAGGGTGTGTAGCCTGGATCAGGACAGGAATTGTAACGTTGCAACCAGCAGCAAAGCCTCCATCTCTATCTCCTCCCCCTCACTCTGATCGACAGGTTCTGCTTATCATGAAGGCGGCATTGCTCTGCCTGCCACTGATCTTCTCTCCCATCGTGGACACCCTCGCCTTCGTCCCGACGCATGTTCACCGCTCATTTTCCGTCGTTCCCTCCCCCACCAGCTGCATGCTCAGAAGCGGCATGAGACTCGGCAAGAGAGCAGCAGCAGCGGCGAGGATGAATGCTCTGTCTAACAAGGAGCAGCTGCTGGACCGAGAGAACGCTCACTCCGTCGGGCTGCTGCAGAACCCGTTCAACGCCCAGGGCTCGAGCGGAGCCTTTCCTGGCCTCCCTGAGCATCTCAGCTTCGTCAAGAGCGTACCCGCAAGGCCAGGGACGCCTACCCTCAACCCCTGGAAGGACGGCGGGAAGTTCCCTGACGGATGTCCGGAGGATCCTTTCGCGCTGGTGAAGGAGGAGCTGTCGCCATTCTCAGACAGCATCAAAGACGTTGTTGACACAGACCACCCCATCCTCTCGGAGGCCGCGAAGCATTTCTTCGCCGAGAGGCAGGGGAAGCGCTTCAGGCCCACGATCGTTATGCTCATGGCCAAGGCGACGGCACCCAACCCGAAGGAGCACAGGAGCGGGCCCGTGTACGAGAAGCAAGCGGAGCTCGGGCAGATCACTGAAATGATCCACGTGGCGTCTCTGATCCACGACGACGTGCTGGACGAGGCGGACACGCGACGAGGAGGGGAGTCAGTGCACAAGCTCTACTCGAACAAGGTGAGGAGCGCGAGGGGAGGGGAGGGGGAAGGGAGGGGAAGGGCTGGACATTTACAAGTGAGCAGGTTGCGGTGATCGCTGGTGACTATCTGCTTGCTCGAGCTTCTGTTGTGCTCGCTCGGTTGGAGAACACGGAAGTGACTGAGATCATGTCGACCGCTCTGGAGAGTTTGGTGCAGGTGACAAGAGGATGGAGGCTGGAGGAGGCGAGGAGAGGAGACAAGAGGAGAGGAGGAGGGGGAGTTGAGGAGTTGATCCATCGTATGTGCAGGGAGAGATCATGCAGATCAAGACCGGAGAAGATGACTTGCTAGACATGATGACATACTTGAGGAAGAGCTACCACAAGGTAACGAAACTCTGAATCATTCTTTCTCCTCCTCCTCCTCCTCCTCCTCCTTCGTTCACCTTCCTTCCAGGAAGTGTGCTTGTTTTCATTCTACACATCCCTTCCTCTATTTTCTCTCCTCGTCTCCTGTCCCTCTGACTGGACCAACAGACTGCCTCTCTTATCTGTGACGCATGCAAGTCCTGTGCCATCCTTGCCGGGTATGAGGAAGAACAGGAGGAGAAGCAGAGGGTGGTGGTGCTGGTGCTGGTGGTGCTGGGCAGAAGAAAAAGATGGAGGAGGGGACGAGGAAGGAGGACTGAAGTTTTGATGAGGGAAAGACAAGCGACTGCCAATTCTGATGGCTGGCGTTTCAGGCATGCAGCAGACAGCGAGGAGGCGAACGCGGCGGAGGAGTACGGATATCACCTCGGACTCTCCTATCAGATCATCGACGACGTGCTGGACTTTACAGGGGCATCGGACGTGCTGGGAAAGCCGGTAAGAGGAGGGAGCAGTGGAGGGTAAAGGGGAGATGGAAATGGGAAGAGAGGGGTGGAACATAGAGGAGAGCAGAAGAGAGCAGGGGAAAGAAGGGAGAGTGAAGGAGAGCAGGGGAGAGGAGAAGGTCAAGATGTTGATGTGTGTACAGGCCATGGCTGACGTCAGTCTCGGACTCTCTACTGCTCCCGTGCTGTACGCGGCTGAGAGCATAGCGGAGCTGAAGCCGATGATCAGGAGGAAGTTCAAGCAGGAGGGAGACGTTGAGAAGACGCTGAGGTTTGTCCTCCAGTCCGACGGCATCGAGCGCGCCAAGTCTCTCGCTCTCTTCCATGCTCAGCGGGCAGTCAACGCCATCTGTCGCCTCCCTGAGTCCGAGGAGAGGAACGCGCTCATCTCGCTTGCTCACATGGTCCTTAGCCGCAAGTCCTAATTTCTCCTCCTCGCATCCCCCCCCCTCTCCCTCCTCCTCCTCCTCATCCCCTACCGCAGCTCGGGCTTCATTCTTATCCCAGAGATGTACTCATTTTCCTCCTCTCTTTGCCTTCCTCTCCCTCTCCCTCCCCTCTTCGTATGCAGTAAAGGCTCGTGGCTGCTCACAAATAGTCGAAGATCGCCCTCATCGCCGTCCGCATGTAGACAATCGTTCTCTTCACGCTCCCCTCCACGTGCTTGGGAATGTTCACCCGCAGAGTCCTCGCGCCCGCATCCCCTCTCCTGCTCATCACCGTCACCGTGAGCTCCCCCGGCATGTCCTGCGGGATCATCATCCCCTTGAGGGTGTAGAGGTCGAAGCATGAATCCCGTATGTCGCTATCTGCAGGCGAAAATGTCATCGAGGAGGAGCAGGATGAGCGGGAGGAGGAGGAGGAGCAGGAAGAGCGGGAGGAGGAGGAGGAGGAGGAGGAGGAGGAGGAGGAGCACAAGGAGGAGCAAGAGGAGGAGCACAAGGAGCACAAGGAGGAGGTAAATGCTACTAATCCGAGAAGGCAAGAGGAGGGGAGGGGAGGGGAGGGGAAGATGGAAGGGGAGGATGGGAATCGAGGTGGGGAGAGGTCAACAAGAGGGTGGAGGAGCAATTACCAGCCGTGAGCTTCCCGAGCAGGATGGCGCAGCACTCGCAAGTCCGCATCAGCATCTTCCTCCTGTGCTCGAGCGCGAAGAACTGAGCATGAAACTCTCCGCCCTCCTCCTTCATCTTCGGCCCGTGGACTTCACACTGGGACTCCAGCTGAATGATGAACTGAAGGAAAGAAACAGAGCACTCGGTCGCCAGCGTCAGAGTTCCCAGGGAGCATCGCAGGGGAGACGAGGAGGAGGAGACGGCGGCGAAGGAGGAGGAGGAGCTGTAACAGTTCACGTCCCCCTCCTTGGAGCGAAACCTCTGCGCGGTCCTGTCGACGAAGGGGCTGATCTTGTCGCCAAAGCAGCACATGATGCGCAGGCAGTTGTGAATGAGGAGAAAGAGAGTGTCTACCAGCTTCTGATCGAATAGGCATCGCTGCCTTGAGTACTGCAAGCCAGTCAGCCTCTTCTTCCTCCTCTTCCTCATCCTCTCCCCACCTTGAGCAGCGCCTGCTGCCTCGGGATCTCGGTCTCTTCTTTCTTCCCCGTGTGAAGGAACTGGAGGAGGAGGACGGTGTCGCGGATCTGCTCGTCGAGGACGGTCTTTGACTGCAAGCTCGGCTCCTCCCACACCTGCCCGTCTCGGCTCTTGTTCGTCTCCATGCGCGCTTGCGCCTGCTCCTCGTGGGAGACGGGGCGGAACCGCTACGGCAGAACGTCAGGGTCACTTGCTGGGCATCAGCTGGGCTGACCTGATTAAACTTGCTCGTGTCGTCTCGCCAGAGCTTGAGGCAGTCGGAGAGGTTGGCGACCACCTCCGGGATCAGCTCGAGCAGCAGCTGCGTCAGCTTCGGCACTTGTGACGACCACAAGGTACACTTGCTGGCCAGTCGCAGGAGGATCGCGGTCCACTGGCAGAAGAAGTCAGCGTGCGGGGGAGACGAGAACAGGTTCCTACCAGCTTCGCTTCCTCAAGGAGGGCGAGGGAAGGAAGTTTGCCGACCTCCACGTCCTGCATCTCCTGCTGCATCGTAGACGTCCCGTGCAGGATCCCACCGCCGTTCATGGCCGCCGCGTCGTTCCCGCTGCTCCTGCTCTCCCTGTGAGCCCTCACGTCTCGCCGGAGGTCAAGCGCGAGCGTTAGGACGCGTGTGAGTCGCTCCTGGTAGTTGACGACAAACGCGATCAGCTCGTGCAGAAAGTCTTCGCGGGTTTTCAGCTTAAGGCTCAGCAGCAGCACAGCTTGAAGCGACTGGCACCAGACCTGATGCCAGATGTTCCTTCCCCGCGAGTTTCCGCTGCCCACGTAGAACCGAAGCTGCTCCGCGTCCCACCGGACGATCTTGGTGTGCAGCGGAGACTCGCGGAGGGCGAGCATGAAGGAGAATTTGGCCAGCAGCTGGGCCCCCTGCAGGTTCTGCGCGACTTCAGTGATAACCTCGAGGGCTGCGAGCGCGTCTAGAGCTGCGTCCTTGCTGGACATCAGGTCGGATCCTTCCATGGCCATGCGACCGCCGCTGCTGCCCTGCAGCGAAACTCCTGAGATCCAGGAAAAGAGCCCGGGGGTCTGCGTCCAAAAGGCCTGCGTAGGAATGAACGACAAATGAGTAGAGAGGAGTGAGACGGAGGAACTTGCTGTAAGGGAGGGGGGAGGGAGGGGAGGGGAGGAACTTGAAGCAAAGGAAGGAGGCAGGAGAGGGAGGGAGAGAGGGAGGGAGGGAGGGAGGGAGGGAGGGAGGGTTGCTCACCTGACCAAGCATGGACTGCCAGTGAACAGGGTCTGACCATTTGCACAGGCGGATAATGACAGCGAGGAGCGTGCAGGACTTGCGAGCCACAGGGCCCGACAAGTCGCCACTCTGAAGCTTCTCGCACACGATGGAGCTCAGGCGGACCAGGACGAGGTCGTAAAGCAGCGCCACTTCACCTGCGACACCTCGTTCAGCTGTTGCCCAGCAGAGCAGGACGACACTCACCCGCAGTCTCCTCGTCGGACTTCCTTGACTTGTCATCGTTGGACGTGGCGAGCGTGACCGAGTCAAGAGTGATCATGTCCTGGACGTGGATGAGGAGCCGCAGGCTGGCGTCGACCAGCACGTCGTAAAGGAGCGACCTCTGCTCGTTGCTCTCGATCTGCTCTGCTACCGTCCCAACAAATTCCGCCTTCCCCTTGCACTCCATCCAGAGAGCGTCGGTCACCTTGGACAGCAGGTTGACTGCTGGCAGGTGACTAGCTGCCTTCACCATGTTCTTCTGAGGGTGCAGCGGCCACCCGCAGTGGATGATGACTGACAATGTCCTGCCAATCTCCGTCTTCACCTCGAGGTCGCCGCTCAGACCTCTCATGTGGTTCAGCATGACCAGGCGGTTGCAGAGCGCTGAGAGGAGGCGAGTCAGCATCAGCCCGTCGTGATCGTTGAGAGTGTGGAGAAGGTCGCTCGGGCAGCGGCAGGCAGCGGCCTGCAGGAACTTGCAATAGGAGATGGTCAAAAGACACTTGAGGTCATGCACAGCCTGGTCTTGGTTCAACCCGCAGGCAACCTTCTCCAGCTGCCCACTAGAGACGTCACGGGCGTGTTTGGTGTCGAAGTACCAGTCTTCTGAGAAGTCGAACATGGCTTGAAGTTTCTGCTCGACCCTGTCGCTGTGCGTCAGGCTCTCTCGGCTGCCCCGGAGGTTCATCGAGACTCGCTGCATGCCGTGGAGCAGAACTTCGTTCTTGAGCGAGCAAGCGTCGTAGTCGAACTGACTCCTCCTGGGGTTTTCGGCCATGATCTCCAGGCTCTGGGGCGGGTTGTGGTAGGAGGAGATGTTAGACAGCTCGAAGACCGCTCTCCTTGCGATCGTCTGCACCAGCTTCTTCCTCTCCTCGTCGGCTGACTTGGCGAAGGAAGAGTCGACATGGTGATCCTCCACATGCATCGCGCAGATTGAGACGGCGAGAGCTTCGATGTGACTTCTCCTGCAAATGCTCTCGATCGCATCGGCGACACACAGCGGCTGCCACAGAGAACTTTCCATTAGGTCGGCCGGTCGCCGCCACAGGCGCTCGATGGGCTCTACTCGGGTCCCAGCAAGAGAGCTCAGCATCGACTCGTAGAGGTACTTGAAGAGGATGTAAGGGAGAGGGACAGGGTTCCAGAATTTCTTCATCTTCCCCTCGCTGTTCTTCGCAGGGTGTCCGTCCATATCCACGAACTCCAGTTTGAACTTGAGCCTGTTCCACATGCTGGACAGAGCGCTGTCGATGCACTCGCTCATGTCGTATCCCTTCCCTTCGATCTCTTGGATGCAGACGTCCACCACCCGCAGCTCCAGCCGGATGCGGTCGACGTTGTCAGTGCCCACGTCGGGATCAAGGAAGTATCGGAGGCTAGAGAACATCTGTCGGGCAGTGTCTCCATGTACGCATGCCTCTTCTCGAAGAATCGTCGTTAGCACAGACGCGTCAGTGAGGAACTCGATAAGAGGGTTGCCTTCCTTGGAGGAACAGTCTAAGATGGGAAGAGGAGCTCGCTTCAGAGCTTTGGGCATCTTCACCCTCACCACCTGCCCCTCCGTCCGATCGTCCACGTAGTCAACCTTGAGTTCGGTCAGCAGGGAGTCGTTGCCGCCCTGGATGAGCCTCACGAGCGTCTCCCAGAAGCTCGCCTCCTGCTCCCGCTGCGACTTCTCATCCCCCTTCAAGGATCCGAGCACCTTGTCGCTGCTCTGCGGGGATAGAGTGATCTTCTTGGCCTGTTCGTCGGGGGTGCCATTGAGCTTGGAGCCGGATCTTACCTCTTGAATGAAAGGATCCTCGGGGGCGGCAAACACCTGGTAGCAACGCCTGGAGCCATCCTTCACGTGCAGCCTCACCTTGTAGCTCCTCCTCTGCCCTGTCTTGTTGTAAATCTCCGTGTGATAGGGCGAGCTCAGCCCCCAGATCAGGCAATCTGGATCAGAGAAGCCCTGCACTATCCCAGCTCGCTCCTCAGGCGCACATGTCCAGATGGTCTGGATCAGCATGAGGCTGTGCTCGAGGACTTTGAGTCTGTTCAGTTCCTGCTCGCTGATCGCAGACCCCCCCGAGAACGCGATGTCGGGATGCAGAAATGCCTTGATGATCCGCCTCAGCTGAAGCTGCTTGGACAGCAGGTAGTGGCTGGAAGTGTCAGGCATCTCAACCTTCGAGTCCCAGGACCTGCTGAGTGTCGCCTTGCGCGTCAGGCCCTCATAGGCGTTGATGACAAGGGGAGGCTGCATGTAGCCCTTTCCGCTGCGAATCTCGACGATCCAGCCGTTGTAATAACCATCGACCTGTTTTGCAGTCTCGTCTAGCGTGATTGACCTCTCGCTCACGTCCTTGACGCATCCCGCAAGCGACGAGAGCTCGTTGGCTGGCTTCAAGGACTCGCTGTCGGAGTCAAACAGCCAGTCGGCAAGTCCAGGTTGGAGGCGAGAGCCTCCGAGAGGAACGCGAGGATCGAGACCCTCGTGTCGACGGGCTCGTCATGGCAGGTCGCAATGTCAATGAGCTCCCGCCTGGTGTGCGCATTCTTAGGAGGCGTCAGCCGATACTGACTAGTCCCATCAGGTTTTTCGACGTCCTGCTTCCACGGTTTTGACAAGGTTGCCTTACGTGACTTTCCATCATACGTCGCAATCCGTCGGGCACTCTGCATCTTTCCCTTGCCGTTGACGATTTCAATGGTCCAGCCATTGTAGAAGCAGTCAGCGTCGTTGGCATCCGACTGCAACGTCAGCGAGTCGTCTGTGACCTGCCCGACTTTCCCCGTCTCAACTCCGTGAGCGACGGCATCGTTCTCCAGGGCCTGCTTGTGCTCTTCTTCTCTCTTCTCCCAACTTTGCCTGATCGTGTGAGGCCGCAGGTCGAGCCTACAGACCAGCGAGAGAACTCGCGAGGCAGCCTGTGGCAACTTGGGCGATAGGTGCTGAGACTGCAAGAGCGTAGGGAGGCCAATGGGAGGAGAGGAGTGGAGCATTGACTGAACCATAGGAGCCGCAAGGTACAGGCAGGCAAACTCCACATTCCGATCGTTGCAAGACACCTGCTGGTCCGAGCGGCACAGGATGATACGCTCTAAGATGGACAGGATGGAGCATGCGACTGCGTCTAGACCCCGGTTGTAGGTCTTCCAGGCTGTGCCGGCCGGGTTGTAGAGCGAGTCGACAAGTTTCAGCAAGTTGGTACAAGGGCCTGAGTCCCTCTCAAGCCACCGAAACACCGAGATGTGAAGATCCGGTCGGTCTTGAATCCCTGCGCAGCCAATGAAGCCACTCTGAAGCATGTGGGGGAAGCGCTCCCGAAGAAAGCTCTCGGCACGAAGCTGAGACAGAAGCAGTACTTCCTCACCGAAGATGGCGTGAATGACCTTGAGGATACGGGCGACCCAAGGCAGCGTGTCCTTGCTCCTGTGGTAGTTGAAAATCTGGCACAGAAAGTCAGCAAGGCAAGACAGGAGGATCACGCTCTACCATGAAAGACTGCTCTTCATAAGAGGTAAAGTTTCGCTCGAGGGCTTCTTCTAGCGTGCTCACACCGTACAAACGACTGACATTTGGGAGAATGATCTCAACACAAAGGCGAACCAACGGCAATACACTGTGATAGGCAACTGACCCCTGCTTCGCACACACAGGGTAGGGGGTAAACCAACCCCAGGTCGACTGCGAGTCGTCAGATCTGATAGTCCATTCACATCTCTCCTGCCTCTCCGGGCGAGACCAAGTATCTTCGATTTTTGCCAACACCACACAAGCATTCGTCGTCAAACCCTCAGTCATGGCCACCTCAAGCACGCTCGTGTCTCCCCCTGCGTTCTCAAGCTCCTGGTTCCTAAGGCCCGTCCCCGAGAAATACATCTTGCTAGCCCAGTAGACTCTCTCTGTCAACGCAGCCACTGCGAAGGAGATCGGGCTTCTGTTTACCACCATTCGGTTCTCAAGCTCCCAGTGCAGGATCTGAGCAAGCAGTCGTTGAAACCCTCCCTGGCTGTCGCTACGCTGAGAAGAGCTCCATTGCTGCTGCCTTTCGTACAGCTCCTGACCTGAACCACTCCATCCCCCGATGTCCTCTAGCAGCGCAACGGCTTCATCGTGCGACCCCGAGAGCTCGGCATGGTGCACGTACCATCCTATCGACTTGAGGGTGTTGACAAGGACGTCGCGCCAACCCTGTCGGGCCAGCTCCTCTTGTGAGCTGATCAAATCTTTGGAGATGAGGAGTTGCTGGGCAGACACGTACGAGACGGCACTGAGAGTCCGTGAGAGACGATTGGAGAGGTTGATCTCGATCTCCCGTATGACGACGCAGCTCTCGACGTACTCCCAGCAGAAGGCCAGCCTTCTTGATATCTCGACGAGAAATCTGGGTGCTGCAACCCTGCTGGATGGGTGAAAAGAGAGGTTTTGCAGCTGAGTATCGATGCTTTCGCAACGGTTACAGAACTGTTCGATCGAAGTGAGGAGGACCTCGTTGAGGAAGTCGCTGCGATGTGTGGGGAGGGGGATACCGTCAACGCCGGCTATCCACCGATGAAGAGCGAAAGCCATGTTGAGGGTGGTCACATACTGCGGGGCGTCTGCATGATACCCGAGGAATCCGGCGGGGTTGGAGAAGTTGTTCTCTTTTCTGAAACGGCTGTCTTGACATGCGGAAGCTTCTTGAATGATGAGCAGCAAGCTTCGCCACCGGGCCGACGTCGATATCTTGTTAGTTTCTCCTCCAAGTGCATCCAACGAACTTCCAAGATATTCGCTTAGCAGATATTCGTTCCATCCGCCGAGCACGGAGCACAGAGCCTCGTCGACAGCTCCCAGGATGAGATCCTTTACCTGTGGCGAGCTTTGAGGTTCGCCAAGGAAGCGATCATAGAAAGACGAGCAGCGGGCCTTCAGGTATTTGATGCCGTTAAATATGGCAGGAATGGCTTCAATCAATGATTCCCTGTAAAACTTGTTGTACGATTCCTCCCAATCACTCTCCCATGACTTGTCATCAACACTGTCCGAGAACTTCTCGTTCCCAGCAAGCAGCCAGGTTGTTTCGACTGTAGAGGAGATGCACTCAAAGCCTTGCATCATGAATTTGGTGTACAGCTCCAGGATATCAGACATTTGAGGATCATTTGAGAAGATGTCACCAGTCAAGCAGCAGTCATTGCCAACTTTACAGTTTTCAACCTTCCAGTTTCCACCCGATGGATCAAATCCCTTGCGAACCAAGGACTCGACGGCCATTGCACATGTTTGTGAACATTGAAAGGTCGGCGAATTTCTATCTGAAATCGAGTCTGTCGCGCTGACAAACTCGACGATATTCAAGCAGTGACACAAGAAGAAGGAAATCAGGACTTCAGCTGGAAGCGGAGAACTCTTCCCGCACCACTTCGACTCAGCTCCCTTTATCCCAAGTGCTGGTAAGTCAAAGCTTTGACCCACGGCAGAGGAAAATCGAATCTAAGAAGCAGGAAAGTACGTCAGGGGAACGAGTTGAAATGGGAAAAACTTACATCCAATGTGCACAGTAAAGAAAATTTGATAGAATCGTAAAGCTTCGACCTGAGACTATCAAGAAGGATTGGGTCCTCTTCACCGAAAGTGCAGAGCGATTGCAGATAAATCTTTGACAACAAACCATTCTGTGAAGTTCCTGCCGATGCAGAGGAGATCGCGAAGAATTTCTTGTACATGAAAGGGAAGTAGCCGAGTTCTTCGTGCCAGTGCTCCATGTTTTTTGACTTGCTGACACTTTTCGGGCAATGTTCATCGTTCAACCAATCGCTGATTCGCCATGAAGCCCGCGAAATGCCTGCCAACAAAATGAACAATTGCGTTTGAACCTGAAGGCACTCAATCTGCACTATCCCAGCATGCAGCGAGCTCTTGTCCCTCGATCGCCTCAGGTCACAGCCCAAGCCCGTTGTGTTAAGCAAGAGGACATCGTCGGACATGGCCCTCGACATTCGGACATAGCTGGAAGCATCTTCATCGCTGATCTCCCTAGTTTGAATAGACGCTGTCACTGCCTCTAAGCATGACAACAATCGGTCCAGCAGGCCTGCTGAACCATCGTTCTGAACAAGGAGATGATCTCTCAGCCTTTCCCAGTACTCGAATGACCTGTCCTCTTCTGAGCTCGGACTCTTTGAGTGCAGCACATTGGACACGAGGGCTTGTAGGTAATACAAAACCTGCCTTGGAGTTCGAAAGTTTGACTTGATTTTGTTGCTTCTGCAGAACTGAAACAGAAGGGAATGCAAAGACTCAATGGCCTTGTGATAAGTCTGTTGCCCTGACCCTCCTGTGCTTGCAGGTACTGAGGCTAAAAACAAATCAATGACTTCTTTGCCCGATGAAAATTATCCATACCTTGACTTTGGAATCCGAACGTGGCCATTGCTTTCGTTCAAAACCAAATGTGCAAATAGCACAGGAGGTCAATCAAGACTTCTAATGGAATATCCTGAGTTAAAATCACTGAGAAGCATGAACGAAAAGCATAAAATAGTTCGCAGGGCTAGACTCATATCCCTGCTTCAAATTTGCAAACATAGACGGGATAGAAGGAAGTAGATGAAGGAGATAGCAAGGAGCACGGCAAGTTCAAGCCATGGACAAGAGGCAGCGAGATCAGCCATTGAGTATGAGCAAGACTAGGATAAGCCACAGAGCAGGAGCAGGAGCAGGAGCAGGAGCAGGAGCAGGAGCAGGAGCAGGGGCAGAAGGAGCACCAGGTTCAGGAGGAGTACATTATTTGAAACGAAGAGGAAGGGAGGAGAAGGAGGAAGGTGATGACGATGATGATAAGGAGAGGATAATGATGATGCTGATGCTACATCATCACCACCATCATCACCACCACCATCACCATCATCATCATCACTATCATCACCACATCACCATCACCATCACCATCATCACCATCATCACCA